TGCTTATTTTAAGGTAACTACAGATTGGATGAAGTAGAAAGCCGGACAACTCTGAGAAAGCACTCGAAGGCCTTGGTCTATTGGAGCCACGGGCAGCCCCTCCTTGATGCTCTGAGTTGGATCCTGCCAAAGCGTGGAGATTTCTTACTCTCCCACCCCCACTCTTTCCCTCTCCCACCCCCACTCTTTCCCTGACGCACAGCACGGGCTTTCTAAAAAGCACTGTGAGAGCAGGAGGCTGTGTTTAATTTTGTGCAAATGTGAAGCTGGGGCTGAAGGGAGCAGGGTTCTGGGGCTGGGTCACTTTGGTAACACTTCCCACATGACTTTATCAATGGGTGGGCCACAAAAACTTATCCTGTGTTTTTTTACACCCCACCCCCCAAACCACCCAACCTGCTCAAGTGTTAGTTTTTCAAAGCCCAAGAAGTTTCAAAGGCCCGAACCCAACACAGGGGCCTTTCTTCATGCTTTGATTTTCTGCCCATTAAGTGTTTGTCAGTGAGTTCGTATTTCGCCTCCTCTGCAGCCTACACAGACCAAGACGTCCCTGGAGGTATAGGAAGTTAATTGATCCTTGATTAAAAGGAGGAGAAGTGCTTTGAGTTGGGGTCTAGAATCACCAGATGGTATGTACACACATACCACACACACACACACACACACACACACTTTTTTGTTTTGCTTTGCAAAAACTTGTAATTACCTTTCATTACAGATAAATCTAAAGTCCAGGATATTGGCTTCAGAGTGTTGGTTAAATTAGATACTGAGCCCATGTTTGGTATGTGGTAAATATTCAGTGAATAATCACCCATGCTATTGCCTTGACTGTTCCATAGCATCTTTTTCTTCAAAGGCCATAAAATTTGCTGAGCTGTAGCTAATTTATCAATATTCATAGGGGCTTCCTTCTCTGTTTTAAGTGACTCACTGACTTTAGAAAGCACTCAAAAGTCCTCGTGTCTCTGGTAAGTCACTTTAATCCCCTTGAATCTTAGGGTGACTGAATGTGTTCATTATATGACTGTTCTCCCGTTAGCCCTTGGGCCACTTGAAGGTCGGGACTTCCGTCAGCACAGTGGCCCGGTCAGTGCTGAGAACATAATAGGCATCCAGGTTTGTCAAATGGCAGACGTTCATGTGGGGTTCCTCAGCATGGTTTGGGCACATAATAGTCGTTCAGTAAATGTTAGCTGTGTTGTGTCTGTGTTACTTTCCCTTTCTTCCTTTCATTGTCTACTTGTGTGTCTCTTCCAGCTCTGTAGCCAAATTTAAAATTGTATTCTTGTAATGGCCATCAGTTTTAATGACTGCCTTACTGAAATCCCTACACTACATTGAGTTTCTTGAGTGTACTTAGTCTCTGGATCCAAAACACCTCCTACTCACATAAGGGTTCCCTCAAGCCTCCCATCCTCCGTGGGCCATCTCTGGTGTTCTGGTAGAGTAGTCTTGCTAGGCCCTCCCTGTACTCCATATGTCAGTCCTCACATTTAGAAACACTTTAATGCACTCATTTTTGTAATTTCCTTAAAATACCATGAGCCTGTTGAGGGCAGGTACTATGTATGATGTGTTCACCTCAAGATTCCCAGGCACCAGCCCTGGGAATTTTTTTGAAATGAAGGGATTGGGGACTATAGTGGTTGGTAATAAAGATGGTGCCGGTGTTGGAAATGGAGATCCTGCTATGGAAAAGAACAGCCTCTTCCCTGTGTCCTAGAGAGGCAAGGTATGATGCTCTGTCTCTTGAGGACTAGCTGCCCCATTGAGAAAATGTTTCTGCTTTTCCCATCAACTGAAGGGAATCTGAGGTTACTCTCTTCTGGAGCAAAGTCAAGACTTGACTGGCATCCCCCCCAATCATACCACAAGTGTGTAAGGGAGACAGAAAAAGCCATTGGGTTTTCTAAATGCCATCTCCATGCCTTTCAAGAAAATAAACAGAACACATTCAGATCCAGCTTCTTGTCTGTTTATGGTCATCATCCATATAATCAGAACCGGAAACTCCCCGAGCCTTAGGCAAAGGAGGAAGAGAAAGGATTTGGAGTGTTCCCAGGTTAAGAGAGGGCAAAGGAACGGAATAAACAGATTTTCTTTACTAGCCTTCTCTGTGGGATTGCCCCCCCACCACTTCATCCTTTTAACATCTATTGAGTGTCCATAGTGTGCGCCAGATGCCGTGCTGACATTACCCAGTGCTGTTGCTCGATTTCTTTTAACTAAAGCAACTTGCTGTGCTGATTTTATTCCATTACGTCTTCCTCTGCTAGATGGTAAACTCCCTGAGGGCAGGGTTTATGCCGTCTTTGTATTGCTTGTACTTCCGTGCACATAGTGAAGACTGAATAAATATTTGTTGAATAAATGAATGGGTCAGGGTAGTGGCATATTACATCATCTTGGCAATCCCCAGACTAGATCTCGTTCTTCCCATTGCACAGATGAGAAGGGTGTTGGGGAGATGTGAGATAACTCGCTCAAGTAGCAGGGAGCAGAGTTGAGATCATTAACTCAGTTCTGTCTAACTCCACAGCTCTTTTATATGTGTTTTATTGTCCTTAGAAACATATGTTTTACAGGCCTATCATGTGAACACTATTAAAAATAGAAGCTGGGGCCTAAGAGCATAGCACAAATGTAAGGCACTCGGGGTCTTTTCCCTTCCTGAGTTTATTAGCAACGCTTTGGCTCCCAGGCACCACAGAGGCTATGGCTGGGCTCAGACGTGGAGCTCAACGTTTTATCGCGATGTGTGGAACTTTAAAAGCGGACTATTAATATCATACTGCTGGCTTCTCAGCTACTTTTCATAGCCAACTTGGCCACATTTCAAAACGTTGAGTAGTAGAATGAAGATGGTTCAGGCCCATATGATATTTTTTCTCTCCCAGCCCCCTACTCCCGAAGATCGGCTGCCTACTCTTGTCATTTCTATGCCACTCTGCTTACCCACTGCCCCCCCGTTGCCCGCTTCACTCCTTCACAGAGACAGAGTCTCAAGAGCTAATGGTTACTGCCTTCCAGGGCCCCTCTGTGTTTACTTTGAGAAGGTCAGGCACAATGCTGTGGTGTGTTGCTGTTTCTTTCTTTTCAAAGCACCAGTATGAATTTGATAAAGTAAATTGTTGTTCTAGCAGGAAGCAGTTAGGCGTCACAAAATAAATAGCCGTAGAATTCAAATAAATCCAAAGAATAAAACCAAATAAATCCATGTGTGTATGCACAATGATACCTAAATACACTTTTTAGAAAGTGAGCATTTTTATCGCTGCTGGTCTGGACCAAAGTAATTGAAAAATTTGTGGCGTTCATGGCACATTTTTTTTTAAGAGGCGGTCTGGGGCTGCGAGCAACGTGACGTGGATTTAATTCCTTTTTGAGAAACATGAAAATGGAATTTTATCTTTTAAACAACCGCTTATCTTGGGATTTTTCAGCTAATGAAATTCACAGTTGGATGAAACCAATTTGCAAAGTTAAATTAGGGGATTCGGGCATTTGGGGGTAGACTGAGAAACTCTGAATGAGCAAAATATTCTTAGTCTCTGTTCTCTTCGCTTGAAGATGAACGACGGGTGCTTACATTGATGATTTAATGTGACCGCTTCAGGTTGTTGGAAGATTCAATGCAAAAATGGGTATAAAGTACCTTCCACATTGCTGGTGTTAGCTGTTCCGTCAGTGCTGGCTGTTAACAAGATATTTTTCTTGGTCTTCCCCAGTCCTAACGCTTAGCGGCTCACCGTTGACTTTGTGAAGTGGCATGGCAGCTTGCTGTTGAACTTGGGTGGTAGGGGAAGAAGAGGTCTTCCAGTCTGAGAGAAGAGTATGAACCAAAACACGGTCTTTGTGTACTGTCTCCTTGGAGGCCGTGTCCAGGAGGGCAGCAGACCATGAGTCAAGAGAGAGGAGGTCCAGGTCACAGGGAACCCCAGAGGTCAGACTTAGGGACTTTATCTTGTCCTGTGCAACGGGGAGCCATTGAAGAGACTTAAGCAAGGCAGTGACATGCTTGTGGTCAGGAAGTGAACTGGTAGATACGTGTGAGAGACAGTGAAGGCCAGGAGACCGATGTGGAGGCCGTTGCAATGATCAGACAAGAGATACTGTAGGCCTTCACTTTTTGCTTCAGTGTTATGAGGAGCTTTTCCTGGCAGGTGATGGAATCCATTTGCCATGACCTTTAAGAGAACGGCATCTGAGCTAACACCGATAAACTGGCAGCAGCTGCGAGGGCGGCCTGGCGCTCCCCGATGCCCTTGGGCTCTGCTCCAGGGCTACAGGCGGCAGGGCGCCACTGAGCTCGCATAGTCTTCTTAGTGACTCTTCAGTGGAAGAAAGAGGTTGAAAAGGGCACCACTGAGCAGCTACTATGTACCAGGCACCACGCTAGAAGTTCTGTGGGCTTCGTTCTCCCCTCCTCGTCCACACAACTCATTTGTGAGGAAACTGAGGCGCAGGAAGACAGAATTAGAACCAAAGGCCACGTTGCTAGGGAGTGGTGGATCTGAGATTCAAATTCAGGTTCTATGACTCCAAGGTTCCCTGCTCCAAGCAGCAGAGCCTTGGGATGAGCTTCTCCAAGGGGGAATGGTGACGGCTGACGCACTTGGAGAACGAGACATCATTAGACTTGAGGCTCTGTTGGTCATTATTACAAATTGGGCCTAACTTTAGCAAGGTGTTGTGTGCAGGGGCAAAGCTCCCGCCCCAGCTCTTCTGCTGCCTCCCACGGTGCTCTTGGACAAGACAAGAGGGTCATTCTGTGCTCCTGTTGGGGGTGACCAGGAAGGAAGGGCATGCGTGTCCTGAGTGCTCTCTGTGGTCCCGATGTCGCTACAAATACCAGGAATTACTATCCCTGTCGATGCTGTTATTCAGGGTGGTCTTTGCTGTCGGTCAGTGCTTCTCTGACCTCCTTTTGTTGATGTTTTCCCTTTCTCTCTCTTTCTTTTTTTTCCTGGTCCCTGTGGTGGCTCCATCTTGAGCAGCTGGCCTGCCCTTCCTCATCATTGAGACAAGCACCATCAAGCCTTACCACCGAGGGTTTTACTGCAATGATGAGAGCATCAAGTATCCTGTGAAAACCAGTGAGACGATAAACGATGCCGTGCTCTGCGCCGTGGGGATTGTCATCGCCATCCTCGCGGTAAGCGTCCGGGCCACCGTGCTCAACCCTGCTCACCGCCCCTGGATCCCATTTCAGAATATCTGAGCCGGCGCAGTGGGCAGATCAAGTAGAATTTGATTTGATTAATACTATTTATTTCATGTGGTTAATACTATTTCTAAAAGTATTTTCCAGGGCACCTGGGTGGCTCAGTCGGTTAAGCATCTGCCTTCGGCTCAGGTCATGATCCCGGGGTCCTGGGATCGAGTCCCGCACGGGGGGAGGTGGGGTGGGGGTGGTCCTTGCTCAGCAGGGAGCCTGCTTCTCCCTCTGCCTGCCCTTCCCCCAGCTTGTGTTCTTTCTCTCTGACAAATATATAAAATCTTTAAAAAAAAACGTATTTTCAAATACTAAATATATATGTATATACATATACACCAGAAGTATAACCTATATATGCACGTATATACTAAAAGTATCATGAAAGTACTCAAAGTCCCCCTTAAAATACTTCGCCTGCACGATCCTCACAACCATCTGGTGAAGTCTAGATACTGTTCTTATCTTTATTCTACAAGTTAAGAAACTGAGGTCAGCAGGAGTAAAAATAATTTGTTCAAGTTCACTTGGAACGGCAGAGTTATGATTTGAACCCAGGTGCCCCTTAGCTCAGAGTCTGAGCTCTGAGCCATGATGCTGAGCCCCAGAAGAGGGGGAGGAGATGCCATCAGATGTCACAGGCATTTTCTGGGCTGTCTTCACACCATGGCTGTGCTGCTGGAACTGTGGTCATGCCACTGGTGTTCTCTGGCATATCGTTCACTTCTCACATCCAGGTGGCAAAGTGAAGATAAAATGGGACTTGGAATCGAGAGACCGAGGTTCTAGACCTGGCACTCTGCTGACAAGCTGTACATTCTTAAAACCAGGAATGACCATCTTGCTTCATACTATTACGATGAAGAGTAAGAGAGGTCATGAATATTGAAATACTTTGCAAACTCTCAATTGCTGAACAGGTTACTCACGTGCAAGTATAAATATATAGATCTTCCCTTAAAGGCTGAGGTCCTCATTGAGGATGCAGAAATGTACCACAGACTTTGGGACCAACTCCAGAATTATTTTGAGCAATGGTCACCTTGTGGCAATTGGGGTATGGCCACCCTGTTTTAGATGTGCCCATTTGGGGCAGGGGTGGGGAGAGTAATCCGGTGGTAACCCGATGGTAATCTGGTCTTGTAATTTGTGAGTCCTGCATTTTCACAGCTGTCCATGCTCCACCTCCAGAATTTTCTGTTTGTTCTCTGCCCTTGAACCCCAGCCATGTGGGCATAAGGGACAGGCGTCCTGTCCACCAAGGTCATAAATTCTTACTCTCAGATCCTTGAGTCATGTTTATATTAGCCAGAACCTGGAAGCTTATCTTTGACCTGTATTAGAAGCCGAGAAGGAAGGGAAGCTAAAGCTAAGAATACTACATGCAAGTTAAGTTCTACTATCCCCATTATACAAATGGAAAACCAGAAGCTCAAAAGGGGTTAAATGATATGCTCAAAGTCTACAGCAAATAAAAATTGGGGCTCAAGCCTATCCCTAGCTTATTTGATAGCCCTCTTTCCATTTTGCAGACTTGATTTCAAACTGAGAGTGACTGTCCTATCCAAATTAACTGCTCAAGGGATAGGCAGTTGGCTACTCTTGCCTATTCTGGATCAAATGCAAGCTGCTGATGGTACTGAACCACACTTCATGAAGTTTTTCTTTTGACTTCCCCACTCTGGGGGTTGGTTGTAAACTTTGAGACCCCTCTTTGTTTTTTAATAACATCGTAAACCAGGCACACAATCAACAGTTTGAAATTGGGAAGGGGGATGGGGACTAGTAGAATTCTTTCCAACCTTTAAAATAAAAACAGTCCATTTGGCAACTTTAGTAGTTTCTTAAAGGTGGACTGAGGATCTTTGTGTTCAGAAACTGAGAGATATAAAATCTAATTTTATTATTTGCTCCAAATTGACAGTGTGGGGTGAGTTCTGTAGGAAGAATGGCTTTTCGTGGAAAGGAAGTTTGTCACGGAAGGCAAATAGTTGTACAGTATCTTGTACTAAGGTTTGAACAGGTGTTTTTGACACTTGGAGGATCAGTTAATTGAGTGCTTCTAGGAAGCCGACTATAACCCAGGAGTGGTTAAGATAAGAATAGCATGGGGACGGGGTGTCACGTGCCCTTTGCTCGCTCTGCATGCAGTTAACATGGGCTTGCGTGGTGGGGCAGCTCCCCGGCCCGGCGCAGTGGACAGTGGCACTCCTCAGAGGCACGTGAACCCGGCGAACCGCCGCTCCCTGCAGCCCTCATTTTCCTCATCTGTGTCTGCATTCACTCATGGGGTCGGCTTTGAGACTCAAACGCCATTGTTCGTGGGAACGGACTTTGTTGCGCTGGGTTAGATGGACACAGGGTGCTAAAGAAGCTTCTCTGAGGGCTGCCCCTCTCTCCGGTGCTTCCTTCCTCAAGCAAAACTCCTGCTCAGCAGCTCTTGCCCTGCTGTTGGCCAAGACCAGCCCCTTCTTCCTCTTGAAATGCTAGCATTTCTGAGAAAGATCTGCTTCAAGGAGTTTAGTTTGGCTTGCTTTTCTCCTCATGTCATGTTGGTGTTTTAATTAAAGTGCTCCTTGACCTCTCAGGTTTCCTTGAAACAGGCAGTCACGTGCCACGGCCTTGGATATAGGATGAGCAAGAGCATTGCTTCCTTATCCCATACGGTGCCAACAAAAGAGGTTTGGAGAGTGCTTTCCTATAGTTCCAAAGGGGGAAAAAAAAAGCAGCAAGAAAATACCACAATAATTGGTGTCCTTTGTTAGGGGCTGTTATGTGCCATAGAAACCTGTGAACCATGTTTAAGCATTTCATCCTTGCAGAAGCCCCAACAGCTAGGTAATCTTTAAAGGTCTCCGTTTAGCATAGGGGTTGAAGGTACGAGCACATCTGAACTCCTGCTGTGGAATGTGTAGCAAGCTAATTAACCCCGGTGAGCTTCAGTAGGCTCGTCTATTAAATGGACATGATGTATGTAAAGTAACTCAGTGCTTGGCACCTATAGTATACTCAATAAATGTTAACTGTTTTCTTTGTAGATGAGTAAACAGTCAAAAAGTGGTGAAGTGACTTTGCCGAGACCTCATGTCTAATAAACATAGAATCTGGGAAGGAGCTCCAGCCTTGGGACCCATCCTGTCTCCCACTCTTCCCTTGTAGTTAATTCACTAAAACCCAGATCTCTGGACTCGCCCTCCAGTGCTCTTTGCAGGAGGACTTTACCTCCGGGTCCAGCTACCCCTGCACTTCAGCTGGAGGCATGTGTGAGATGTGGCCTCATCATGAGGTCTGCTTACCCACTTACCTGCCATTAAGTACTAGAGTCCTCATGGAAACAAGCTGAAGCAGAGACCTCAGAGGAAAAGTGAGTAATTCACTTTAGTATACTCAATTCTGGAAAAGCTATATATGGCCTAAATTAAACAACAACAACAACACATTTCCCCCTTTCCCATTATGACTGGTCATAGAGCCTGGCTGGCTCCCTCCAGGATCTGCTTCTGATCAAGGGGCATGAATGACAGTCGGGGGGGGGGGGGACCCAGGGCTGGAAATCTAATCATCCTGCAACCTGCTGCCCGGGGCTTTCTCCTGCCGACCTCGAGTTTGTTTAAAACAACAAGAGAAGCCTTGACTGATTTGGATGCCCTCGCTCCAGTTTGAGTGTCCCCACAACAAAGGAGTGGGGGGCCGGTGCAGTTTTAGAGTGTGATGTGGACATGCAGATCATCAGCAGTTATAGAGAAAGCAGACACCTTTTTATGGCAGGAGATATGGAAAAGTCTAGTCGTTTTGACTTCTTTTTCAGATGTATCTCAGATTCTGGAATTATAGCATAATAGGAATTCTTTCCAAATCCACAAAGCAGTGGTTCCTATCCCTGCCTTGTAAAGGTTTAATGACTCTAGCAGCAGTGAGATTAGGAGCAAAAACAGCAAAGTATCACCCCCTACCTAGCCTCCTCTCAGTTTGCTTGCTCTACACTGTGAAGAGTATTATGGGCAAAGATTTTAATATGGAAAAAATGCTCTGGGTTCATTTCAAATAAACATGGGCTCAGTGCTTGAAAGTGGTTTGTATAGATTCTTAATATCTAGGAGTTGAAGTATGGATGAGTCATGGGTGCATCCCCTTCTCCCTCTGGCCATATAAATTCTACTTTTGCTCACAGATCCTGTTGAATGTGACTTCTGTAATAATATTCCTCACTGGAGAAGAAGCTTACACTTTGGCATCATCTGGTTTAGGTTCGCGTCCTAACTTTTGTGCTTATTCATTATCAGACCCCTTTGGAAAAGAACCATACCTTCCTTTTCTGTAAATTGGTAACAGTAGTTCACCAACTCCGTCGGGTTTTTCTCGAGGTCAAATCAAGTGACATTATGCGTGTCGTCCGCGAGAATCATCCTTTTCATTTCTGTAGTGTCCTACGGTTAACCAAGTGCACATTATGTGCACGTTCCCTGATTTGCACCTGGTGGTGGTCCTGGGAGGTGGATTGTTACAGCTAAGGCAACTGGGGATCAAGAATATTAAGTGACTTTCCCGTAACTAATTAGTGGCAGGGCCAGACCAGGGGTCCTCTGATTCAAAGGCACCTTTTTCTTTCTTTCTTTTTTTTTTTCCTAAATAATGGCACCACTGCTGCTTTGTAAAGCCTGCCTGCCTGCCCTCCACAGGTACTTCTCAGGCACCCCCAAAGGTAGCAGGTGCTGGGGACCCAGTGGTATACCTCTGCCCTAGTTGCATCTCAGACAGACAAATGGCACCTTCCATACTTCTGTCCTAGTAATATGATCTGTGTCCGGGTCTTGTCTCCCCAGCTAGATAACAGGTTCCTAGCAGGCCGAGACCAGGCTTTCCCTCTTGCCCATGGTAGGTACTAAATAAACCCCAGGCAGACATCTTTCTCTCTCTCCAGGAAACATTCCTTGGTTGCC